CCCAGACAAGTTTGAACAATGATCGCAGTCAACCCGGATGGGAAGATAATGGTCAGAAGATGCCTGGTCACCCTGAGACCCTTTCGGTAAAGTTCTCTACTGGTTGGCGCGGGGAGATCAAGACCTCCCCAAGGGGGAGCGTGGTGGAGCTGGGCGAGGTCCATCCCCTCCGGGGTTGCAAGTCCGGGTGGCCGGGGAGGTTCACGAGTCTGTCCTCGATGAGGGCCTTGGGGATGGGAAACGGATGGAGATGGGACTGTGTGTGTGTGTGTGTGTGTGTGTGTGTGTGTGTGTGGTGCAGGTCTGGATCTGTCCTGAGTTCATCAAGATCGGGGCGATACTAGGCATGGATAGATCAAAATGGGGTCAGAAAACGCCTAAATCAAGGAGGTCCTGGCTTCCAAAGTGGTCCCAGCCAGCAAGCCTCTTTCCTGCCCCTCACGTCGGTCCCGTCTGAGCCGTGAAGTTACTGTGGGGTGCCTAGGAGGCACCCCTGCTGTCCCGCCTGTCGCCTTCCAGGTCGGCCCGCCCATCCTTTCTGCCTAGTCCAGCCCCCTTTTCCCGCCCTTGTTGCTTTCCCACCCTTCTGGTTGGGCACGAGCCTGTGTCTGACAGGAGGGTCCCCAAGATTGGGGTAAAGGCCCTTTCTGCTGGGGATTTGCTTCCAAATGCAGACCAGATCGTCAACAGCCTACACAGGCGCAGGAACATGGGGCACTGACCGAGTCTGTTTCCCTCCCCTGGGCAGTCCTAGCCAGGCAGGGGCGTTAGTTTGTGAGGGACTCACTAGGACCTGTTGGGCCAGGGAAGGGACCCCGCTTCCTTCTCCCAGAGTCCAGCAGAGCTAGGCCCTCAGGCCAGGCTGGGAAGAGGGTCGTGTGTGTGTGTGTGGGGGGGGCACACGCCGGAGTGTTGCCTTGCTTGGCAGCTGGGCCCCAGATGACCTAGAGAGAGGTGGTCACAGTAGTGGGGTGTGACTAGGCCACAAGTGAAGTCTGGTCATAAACCTTGAGGCATGTGCAGGCTTTCCCTCCAGGCTCTGGGCTGATCCCCGGGTGCCTCCAGACATTCCTCTGTGCCCAGCTGGGTTGGAGATGGGGAGACATGGCCCACCTGGCTGTTGCCATCAGCATGCTGGGCAGTTTGGGGCCTGAGATGACAACCTCTGGGGACAGTTGTCTATGTGAATGCAAAGGCTGCAGAACCAGAGAGCTGTGGGCAAGGCTTTCAGAGGGTTATTTGGAGAGTGTCTCAGAAATCCCTGGCCTAAGGTGCCCCATGGGAACCAGGTCGCCAAGAAGCATCTCTGGAAAGACTCTGGCTTCTCCAGAGAGACCCTGGAATCCTGACCTGCTGGGCAGCTTAAGAGGGTACTTGCTGGTCTCAAATCCCAAATCAGCACTGTATCCGGCTCCTGAAGGTTCCTGGTGTGATGGTTGCAGGCAGCCATCTCCAGCACCACGGACAGCGCCCTCATCCCTGAGCTGGGTTTCCCTCCTCTGTGTGCCTTTCCTTGAGGCGGGATTCCCAGTGCAACCACAAACCCCTTCCAGCCTTACAAGTTCTGCTCCTGGTCTGTCTAGGATGGTGGGGACCCACAGCTACCAGTCTTCTCCGTGTCCCCCTCAGGCCTTTAGACTAGATGCCAGGGGCAACCCTCTGGTTACATCACCCTAACTTGGTTTATCCCCAGGGGAGCTCTGGGGATGCTTCTAGAGCAGAGCTCGGGGCAGGGCCTTTATTTTGTGCATATCCCCGAGATGTCACTTGGATGGATATATGAATGGATGAGACCATTGAACCCACTATAAATGACCACCAAATGCTTGGGGGGGGGGCTGGGCCCCAGCTGTGGTAACTGGTAGAGAGAGAAATGCCAAGGCAACAGATTGGGGTCTCACCTTTTCCATGGCAAGCATCCCTGTCTCCAGTCCTAAATTCAACCCCATGTCAGCAGCATGGGAGGAGAATAGTGGGGCTCCCACATGATCTCCCCGGGTGTGCTTTGAACCCCATTCTGGGCTTGGATTCAATGAGGTCCCTCTGAAGTAAGAGGTGTTCCATGTGCCACCTGTCCTACTGTAGCTCACCAGGCTCTCCCACAAATCAGGAACCTGGTTGTCCCTGCGGGGGCTGTCCTACTGGGACCTCTGAGTATAGGTCCTCCCTATCTCTGACTCAATCTCTGTAACAGCTTCCTTTAAATATGGGCTAAGAATTTGTTGTGTTTCTCCTTTTCTTTCACAATTATGTGTTTTCTGTAATGGACCAAATTTTAATTAAACACTACACTGCCAATTTAAAATAATGAAGATTAAAATGTATAAAGCAAGTCTTGCAGAAAGACACAAACGGGCACCAGGATTGGAGGCGGGGCAGGTGGGAGCATCTGGCATGACTTTTGGGGGGCTCTTCTCGGTCATCCTGGCTCTCTATCAGGTGTGGATATAGGGCCCCTCACTCTGACCTGGGGGAAGGGAGGGTACCTTTGCAGCTCTGCCAGCTCTTCAAGTCCTCTGAATTTGGGTCTCAAACCTCTTTTGCCTCTACCTTCCCTCTGGTCTGGCTGCCAGCTCAGTCATTTTTATGACCAGCATGGAGCACTGGGTCTTGCTGAGCTTGAGGCAAGGACTCTTAGCCTAGATTCCTGCTGTCACTTTGGGTTACTCCAGTGTCTGGCACCTCTTAGAAAATGAGTATGTTTTGAAAGAATGAATGATGTCATGTTTTTGGCCTGCTCTCCCTTCCTGCATGACTGCAGGAACACTTGTGTGACACTCCACCCCTGGGTGAGACGATGTCCTGACTCACGGTGGCGCAGGTTGACAAGCATGACTGACAGAGAAGGACATGGGCAGAGTGGGCACAGAGGGGGTGGAGGGGATGTGCTTGAGATATTATCACCTAAGAGTGATGGGGGCATGTGGCACCCTATGAGGACACAGATAAGTGAGCTCATGACAGATGGTGGAGGTTGTATACACAGTGCCAAGTGTGGCCCAGGTGATTGATGGGAACCAGGTGGGTCTCACTGTTCCATTTGTACCAGTGGTTTTCACGTTAGTGTAGACCAGAATCATTGGGGAGATGGCTAAAACAGATGGCCTGCCCTGTCCCAGGGTCCCATCTAGGAAGGGAGATTTCTAATATCATCTCTCCTGCCCTCCCCATCTCTTGTGCTGGGGTTGAACCAAGGGTCTAGTGTATGCCAGGCAAGCAATCTACTGTTGAGCTACATCCGTAGCCCCAGAACAGTCATTCCTAATGGTTCTTGGCAATTGGTTCACACCCTGTGCTACTCCATGTGAACGTGCCCTATCTGAGTCTGGCCTTGTTCAGGTTTCTTCCTGTGTGCACACTCTTCTTGTTTGTGTTTTTTTTCCCCCATGTGGTCAGTTTCTCTGTCCCATTGAGGTGGGAGCCTCCCAGGTCTGGGAGCTCAAGCCCCAGATCTGATTCTTCCGTGCATGCCCCAGCTCCCCTCTCTTACTTGCTCGTTCTTCATTGGCTTGAGAGCTCATTTAGCAGAAGGTGGACTGGAACTTGCTATGTAGCTGAGGGTGACCTTGAACTCCTGACTCACTGCAACTACTTCACCTGCCGTTCTCTCGTGACTTTCCTGGCTGGGAGTGGGCACTGGATTGTTGGTGTGCCCTGCTGACCTGTCTTGTTTCTCTCTCCTGCAGGCTGTTTGTCCTGGGCATCGGCTTCTTCACTCTCTGCTTTCTGATGACATCATTGGGAGGGCAGTTCTCTGCCCGGCGCCTGGGGGACTCACCCTTCACCATCCGCACAGAAGGTATCTTGAGGGCAAGGAGAGCCAACAAGAAATATGAGTGATCTTAAGTCAAAGGGGAGATGCCTCTGCGCTCAGCCCCTGTAGCAGGCTTTCTGGGACCTTGGCCTCTGAATATGTAAATGTGTAACGGGGTGGGGGGTGCAAACTTGCACTGTGACATGCATGCTGCTTGGGCTCTGGCCCTGTCACTGCTACCAGGATTCTCAGGCCTCGAAGGAGGATCTCCCAAGTGCCAGAAGGGACCCCTGTGTTGCTGGGGTGTTGGGGATGGTGTCTTTGAATGCAACATCCTTTGAGACCCATGTTTGTAGACGTGGTTTTCTGTCCCATCAGCCCTCTCCCAAATAACCACACAGAGACTTCTTATTAATTGTAGGTGCTTGGCTGATATCTTAGGCTTGTTATTAACTAGCTCTTACAAGTTAAATTAACCCATGTTTGCTATCTGCACTTTGCCACACCACGTGGCAGTACCCATGTTTGTTATGTGCGCTTTGCCACGCCACGTGGCAGTGCCTTTTTTCAGCATGTTGGTCTCCTGCTTCCTCTGCATCTGGCTTGAGACTCCCTGTGACTCCGCCCTTCTTCCCCTGAGCTTTCATGTCCCGCCTAACTTCTATCTGCCTAGCGATTGGCCATTTAGCCCTTTATTAAACCAATGAGAACAACAGATATTCTCGGGGTACAAAAAGATTGTTCCACATCGTACGTTCTGCGTCTTTGACCCCAGCAGAGCTGTGGTAGGGGACAGGCCTGCAAAGGGCTCACGGGGTTCCTGTCTGAGCTCTTGTGACGTTGGTCTTACCTGGTCCTTCTCTGTCCCTGGCCTGCACGATGCTGGCTAGGTATGGGGTGGAGATGCAGAGTGTGGGCTTTGGGGAGCAGACAGTCTGCATCTCTAGTCACTAGCTTTGTAGTGTCACTCAAATTCTTAAGTCACAGAGGAAAGGAGAGCGGAGGGGTCAGGGGAGTAAAGACCCTCTCAGGTGTGGATTCCTCTCAGGTGTGGATTGAGCAGAAACCCCCTGGCACCGTGCTGCTGTCACACAGCTTGAAGGTCCTTGGCCCTGCCTTTCCTCCTCTGTACGGCAGCGTGGCATGGCGGGGAGAGTGAGTGAGGCAGGCAGGGCTGCTGGAGCTGTTGGTGTTGTGAGATCCCCTCCTGTCTAGAGTCTCTTGGAGATCACCTCCTTGATGGTTCCCAGTGATGAGTACTGAGTGGCGAAGGTTGTCAGCTCAAGTGGGCTGAGTGGCGCTTACTGTGCCATCTGGTAGCCATCCTGCAGCTCATTCCTTGGCTTAGCACGAGTCTCTAAACTTGCAAAGGCCCTCAGAAGCCAGCAAATACTTATCATCATCAGCTATTCCAGACAAGCACGACACCCTGTCTCTGGCTTCCAGGGACCCTTCAGTATCTGAGCCTCGGGCCCCCTTCTGGTAAGCAGGATGGGGCACTGCCTCCCGAGGGTGCCATGAGCTGTGTTAGTACACTCGGAGAGGGGACCCGAGCAGTGACTGTAGTGTAGTTTCCGTGCTCATGTAGTGCGGATGCTGTGTAAGGGGGGGTGCTGCAGGGGTGGGGCTGAGGGGAGCAGGAGGACCAATGAGGTGTGTGGGTCTCTCTGCACAGGAGATGCTCAAGGGTTGAGGCTGGAGAAGAGGGGGCGGTGTGAAGGCTCCCTGGGGAGGAGACAGGGGATAGATGATTGGGGGCTCAGCACCGAGAAAGATGCTTGTCACCTGGGAATGCCCTTAGAAGTTGGCATACCTGTGTGGGCTTCAAGAACCTAGACCTCCGGAACTTTCCAGAAGCTCAGGAGTCTTCTGGGTGAGAATAAAGCCATTTCAGGAATGGAGATTGTGCCTGGGCTCTGGTTCTTTTGTCTCTCCCCCCGAAGGGCTGGGGCCAAGACTACACCCCCACCTCATGGTCCCTGCCCTGGCCTGGCCTGGCATTGATTTGGGAAGGGTCTAGCTCAAGCCCTACATCTTGTACCAGGGAAGGGAGAGAAACTTCTAGGTTATACATGTAGTTACACTGGAGTTGTGCGCGCGCGCGTGCGTGCGTGCGTGCGTGTGTACACCTGCAGGTGCTTCCCATTTCTAAACTGAAGTCTCAGAGATACAGAGCACGCCCACAGTGCACGCAGCTGGATCCAAGAGCAACATGCTCAGCCTCTGGCTCTCTCATAGGTGTTTCCTGCCAGTTTTTATAGCCCCGGTGTGGCTGTGGGAGGCCCCTCCTCTGGGCCAGTGTACACTTCAGAATAACAAAGCTGTCCAGTTTGAGGACACAGTGTGACACAGTCTCCTGAGATTGAGAAAACTCTCACTGAGTAGGGATCACTTTGGGAGGGACTTGCCTTTGGTCCTGTTCCTCCTCTCTCTGCTCCTGAGGAGGTCCTTGCTTTCTCCTCCTGGAGTCAGACCTGAGCAAGTTTCCTTGCAGACATGGGCAGGAGCTTCTCTAGGGCACATGGGGGCTGGGGGTCCCGGCTCAGCTGCTGTGTCTGCCCTCAGATGATTGCCTGTGTCCTGGCTCTGCTAACCACGCAGGCCCCAGGCCAGACAGTGAGTAGAGGGTGCACCAGGCTCTGTGGATGGCTCTTGGTGGCTGACCATAGATTTGAGGAAGGAGGGGTAACAGGTGGAAGAGCCTCATTGGGCCTCTGGGGGCCTGTCCTGGTCTCTGTAGCCCAGAGCCCACACTTCACTGCCTCAGCAGGGCCTGCTATACAGGAGCCAAAATATGCGAATTTTCCCAGCTGTCCAGACACCTAGTCTGGACGAGCCAGGGAGGGCTCTATTCTCTGGCAGGTGGGGGCTTGATTAAGGTAAAGGGGAGGGATGGAGACACAAAAGAATGGGAGAAACAGCCACAGAGAGGGTTCTGGGAGGGGGGGAGATAGACTAGCTGGCCTCAGGGGGCAATAAAAACACACCCGTCTCTAAGTGCCGGGTCTATTCATATCTGCAGTATTCCAGCCTTCCTTATTTATATGGAAATCAGAGGGGAGTATGTGCATTAGCCGACTTACTGTTGGGGCCTCATAGTAACTTCATTTCAATTCAGTCAATGCCAGGAATGGAAAGTGACTCAGGGAGGGTATGTCAGCTTGCTTTGCTGATAGTCCTGGGGCCAGTGGTGGCATCTGAGAGTGTGTCACTTGGGGAGGGCCTGCCTCCTGGCCCACTCCCTTCCTGGGTACCTGTGTCTGGCTTTATCCTTAGGTATCTCCTCACCAAAAACAAGAGCTTCTCAGGCAGGGTGGAGCTTTTGCAGGACGAGAGGGTCACTCCTGAGCCCCGGGAACGGGAGCAATCTTGCTGTCTTGGTTTAGGAACAGGAGAATGCCATGAGAGCCATCTAAATTGGGTCTCTCTCCTCAGCCAAAGCCATAATGAAACCTGGGCAGTGGCCACTTGCATGTCCCTAAGTCCTCTGGTTTTGGGGTCACACCTCCTGCTGGCTCCTTATTAATTCCTGCAGTGAGGAGTAGACTCTGACCCCCAAATGTCTCCAGAGAGTCTTGTGTGGGGATGACCTATATTTCCCTGTTCATTTCTTCCTCTGATTTCTTGCTTCAGCAACGGAACCAGCTCATGCCCCCTCTCCTGACTCCTTTGTCTTTCTGGCCCTGACTTGTTGGGAAGGACACCCCATTCTTCTCAAGTCCCTTGTCCAAAAGCCTGTGTGTGTGTTGTAATCAGTCGCACAAGGACAAAGAGGGTGGGTGTCATGGGGCAGGGACTTCAGACCACTGCCAGGCATGGAAGACAGATTCTGACTCCTCCAACGGTGGCAAGAAGACCCCCTACCTCACCCCCAACACACACGCCATGATCGTTCCTGCAGAGGGTTTTCCCTGTGTCCTCCTTAGACCTTCTACACTGTCTCTAGACCCCCTTTCTCCAGTCTTCTCAGCTGTGCAAGGAAACTGTCTTTCTGTGTGAATACGCAGAGTCACGTCTCTGTGTTGGTGCCCAGGCCCACCAGCGGCCAGAGGAACCGTGTGAGGCTCCAGTGCCAGCTCTTAGGGACTCACCCATTCCCCTCATTTCTACTTTCATGGGACCCATCTCTTTTTCCTTCCTTTCGATTTCCTTCCTCCCCTTCCTCTCCTGGGATCCCAATTTCTATCGGCACTAAGGAGGTGACAAGAGGAAAGAACTACTAAACTTGGCGTCTTCAGACTCCCCCGCCCCCCAAGGAGAAACTGAGTCAGAGAAGGAAGCGACCTGGTCCGGTTAGGTCCATGGCAGAGCAGGGCTGGAGCAGGGCGGGAGTCAGCCGATGCTTTAATTCTTCCTGCAGCCTGCCCCAGGCGCCCCCTCCCCTCACTCCCAGACTCTGCTAAGCTGTCCTGGGCAGCCTGGATAGTAGTGCTGGAGTGTGGACGGGGCCGGTGATGGCGGTGAAGGCAGTGAGGAGCGCCAAGAAAGCCTGGGCTGGGCTAGGGGAAGGGCAGCGGAAGTGGGGTGGGGTGGGGGTGGGCGGATGGGTGGATCTCTCCAGGAAGCACAGAACTCACCTCCAGTGAAGTCAAGGAAGGCATGGATGTGCTCCTGCCGAGCTGCTGCCAGGCTCTGGGGGCCCTTCCTGCCTGAGTGCTCTGTCCAGTGCATGGCTAAGCAAGTCCCAGTCCTAGGGGGGTTAGCTGTAGTTTTCTTCTTTCTCATCTTGCTCCCTTGGGAAAAGGGCTGCCACAGATGAAGCTATGGACTGTGGTCCCCCGGGGTTGCCCAGGAAGGCTGAGCAGGCTGTACACCGCGCAGCTCAACACCCCTCGGGCATCCACGGTACAGATGGTACCTCTGGGGCTCTGCAGCACAGCGGTCAAGTCAAAACTTGCATTCTCCCTTCTCTTGTGAGCTGAAGTCATGCCCCCCCCCCCGCCTCTTCTTTCTCTTTGGTGCTGCAAGCACTAGCTGAATGCTGGGTGCTGGGTTTGGGCTCAGTCAGGAGACAGAGTGATGGCTGCCCTGGTCTCTGAGAGGCTGGGATGGAGGCTGCTGTTTCTGTCTTGTTGAGGGGACTAATTGCCCGACTCACAGATTGTGTATGAGTGGCAGGGGATGGGTACAGTGATGAGGAAACTCAGGTTGATTTATCTGAGGCTGTTGTGGGATTTCCCCAGGCTGACTTATTTTAGAGGAGCACACTTGAGAACTGGGTGTGTAGCTCAGTGGTGGGGCATTGGCCCGGCATGATGCCTGAGGCTCTAGGCTCTCTTCTCCCTCCCTCTCTCTTCTCTCTCTCTCTGTCTGTCTCTCTCTCTGAGATAGGTTTATCTGGGTGGCCTCAGTTGTCTTGGAACTCGCTCTATAGACAAGTCTGGCCTCAAACTCAGATATCCCCCTGCCTCTGCCACCCAGGTGTTCGCCGCCACCACCTGGCTTGGGCTTAGTCGTTTAATACTACACGAAAATACCAAAACAAAGGTCACCTTCTTGGACTAGGAAGGCCCTTTGCTGTTTCCCTTGCTGAGGGGCTGACGGATCCATTTCCTCTCCCTCCCCGTCCCCTCTCTTCCTTCCTTTGCCCCCCCTCCCCCCCATCTGTCTCCACCATCCGATGTGACTCCTAGAACATCTCCCTCTCCTTTGTCCTTCTCTTTCCACTGAGGACACATCCTCTGTCTCTCATGCCTCTTGAGTGTCTGTCATCTTGGGAGTTCAGCTGTGTGCACCCAGCTGGGCTTGCTGACTGTTTTCATCCTCGTGAGGGGTGAGGAGGGTCATGACACCTCACCGAGTGTCCAGCTTCTCCCTACCACATGCTGTGTGTAACTCTGCCTGGGGGGGGGGTGGAACTAGAGTAGGTAGGGGGAGTTAAGAGGAAGGCTCCCTCTATGCAGCAAGTCCTCACCCCTGCTGGGTAAAGGCTTTCCAGGCTGGCCAATGAGGGAGGAGCGTCCATATCCTTGTAGTAACCCCTCACCTGTGCTCTGTAAGGAAGCCTAGGAAACATTGGTCCCCCCACCATAGTGAACTTTGGTGGAACCACGCCTCCGTTTGTGATGGGGATCTTAAGAGAAAGGGTAGATATTGTTTTAGTCTCCCTCTGAGGAGGGATTTTAGCAGCAGATGCCTGGCTGCTAGTTCCCAGGCGATGCTGTGAGAGATCCCTCCTGGTTCTTGTGGCTTCCCTCTGACTGCAGGCTCTGCTGGCAGGGAAGCCCAGCCTGAGGGGTCCTGTGTCAGTTTGGGGAAGCAGGCAGTGTCTGGGCCTGGCAGAAAAGTGAAGAGGGGATGGGTCCCGGGTAGCCTGGATAGTCCTGAACAGCCACAGCGGCTCTGTCCCTCCCTGCCCTGCACTGGTTCATCGGCTCGTCGCCATCTAGCTGCTTCCCTTGCCTCTCTCTTTCTTCTTCCTCTTGTTCTCAGTGGCTCTTGCTGCCTCTGCAGGGTGCTGGGCTGCAGGCAGGCCTTGATATCCTTGCCTTGAGTTAGGGATGTTTTTACTGTAAGACGCTTCTAAGCCTAAGGTTCTTCATTCGGCAAGACAGTCTCACACGGGGCATACACAGCTGATGGTGGAAGGACCAGAAGAGAGACACCCGGAAACTTGGGGAGTTGTGGGGATCTTAGTGCGCTGCGTGCCTCACTTTCACTCAGGCAGGGGGTGAGGGACTCACCCTGGAGGAGCCTGAGGCTCAGGACAATAGCACTGTCATTTTCTAGAGAGGTTCAAGGAAGTTGGATGGGAAGGGCTTCAGGCCAGGCATGGGTGGGACCAGGAACAGCACACTGGACGCCAGAACACAGGAGGACCCAGTGTCAGAGTCAGTCACACAGGAGGCAAGCACAGTGAAGGTTCCAGAACCCCAGGCCCAGAACCTCAATCAGTGCACAATGCTATTCTTACAGAAACCTGCCTGGGGAGTCCTGGCTCATGCAAGGCACGGGGCTCCAGGCCTCCCCTTCTACTGGGGCCTTCTTGGAATTCACAGACCCTTGATGCCCAGAGCACTCCAGAGGCTACACCTGGAGTTTCATTGTACATTCCACAATCCAGAGGCCAGAGAGATAGAAAAAGTCCTTCAGCTTACCCAGTGGGGAAGGGGCAGGTTAGCCCAACAGATTGACACTTCCACAAGCAAGGTAAAGGGGTCCCTGCGGGGAGAATAGGCAGGAGGCACACTCTGCTGTCCCCTCCTATGAGGTGGCCTGGGAAGATGGAGGTGGGGCTGGGGTGTGACTGCCCCTGACCATGCCCACACTCTGTCCACAGTGCCAGGTGGCTCCGAATCCCGTGGCGCCCTCCGCAAGATGAGTGACCTGCTGGAGCTGATGGTAAAGCGCATGGACGTGCTGGCCAGGTTGGAGAATAGCAGTGAGCTGCACCGCACAGCCAGCGTTGCGCACGTAGCTGCAGACAGGTGAGGAGAGGTGGGGCAGGGCACGGAGCTAGGGGTGCCCCTGGGTCCTGGGGGCTCCGGCATAGCCTCAAATGTACCTATAGAGCTCAACCAAGGTCCCCTTTCTGGTAAACTAGAAAAACTTCAAGATTGCAAAAACCAGGCCTGGGGAGATGGCTCTGCGTGTAAAACCCCTTGCCACTCAAGCGTAAGGACGTGAGTTCAAATCCCCAGCACCTGTGTAAAACCTGGGTCTGGCTGTGCTGCTGTGGGAGATCAGGAAGACCTCTGGGGCTCTGGCCTAGCTCCAGGCTCAGTGAGAGGCCCTGTTTCCAGGGAATATGGTGGCAGAGAATGGTGGAGCAGGACCCAGACTTGCGGCTCTGCATACACACACAGCGTGCAGGCATTTGATTCTCTCACCCCCTCCACCATCAACCCCCCCACACACACAAAAGGTAAAAACCACATCAGAATGCAGGCTTCTCCCTCCCAGACTCAACAAGCATTAGCGTCTTGTCTCAGCTGTAGACTGTCTTCTGTCCTCACTAAATACCGTAGGTGAAAACCAAAGGCCCTACAGCTTCTCCCTGGAGACAAGCCGTTCACACTTAGTACTGAGTTTTCCCATTGTATCCTTTACACACACTTATCATACTCCTTAGAAATGTGTGTGTGTGTGTGTGTGTGAGTGTGTGTGAGTGTGTGTATGTGTGTGTGAGTGCATGTGAGTATGTGTGAGTGTGTGTATGTGTGTGTGAGTGCGTGTGAGTGAGTGTGTGTGAGTGTGTGTGTGAGTGAGTGTGTGTGAGTGTGTGTGTGTGTGTGTGTGTGTGTGCGTGTGTGTGTGTGTGTGTGTGTGTGTGTGTGCGCGTGTGTGTGTGTGTGTGTGTGTGTGTGTGTGCTCGTGTGCGTGTGTGTGTGTGTGAGTGTGTGTGAGTGTGTGTATGTGTGTGTGAGTGCATGTGAGTATGTGTGAGTGGGTGTATGTGTGTGTGAGTGCGTGTGAGTGAGTGTGTGTGAGTGTGTGTGTGTGAGCGTGTGTGCGTGTGTGTGTGAGTGCGCGTGTGAGTGAGTGTGTGTGTGAGTGTGTGTGAGCGTGTGTGCGTGCGTGCGTGCGTGCGTGCGTGCGTGCGTGAGTGTGTGAGTGTGTGTGTGTGTGTGTGTGTGTGTGTGATGTGCTGGCTGGCCCAGGATGGCCTTGAACCTACGATCTTCCTCCTTCAGCCTACTGAGCGCTGGGGCAGGGGAGTTGTTAGTGGTCCCCTGTGAGTGAAGAGGGACACAGTATGCTTCTGTGGGTTGGCTTGCTGTTCCGGATTGCTGGTCCTGGGTCACCCCCAAACTGACCTGGCCAGTTGAACAAAAATGCCCCGGGTACCCAGATGGGCACTGTCAGCCACACGCTGAGGGGACATTTAACTATAGAACACTGGATATTTTGTGTCCTTCTCATGGGATCACGTCTAGCACAATCACACATCAACCCGGCAAGAACTGTACAGGATGTATTAGGGGAAACTGAGGCACAGATGTTCAGATGCAGCCAAAGTTGTACCCCTGGGAGGCACTAGGCCAGGCCCCATGGCTCACCTTCCGAACCCTGATGCTCCTCTCTGCCAGCCATCCCTCTGTGGTCCACCATGTGTAGCTCAGGTTTGGTTCGTTGCTGACACTGGGGACTGAACATTTAATGCACGCCATGGCACACAGTCAGCTCCCTTCTTCCACCGCGTGGCTCTTGGGATCCAGCTCTGGTCCTCATGCTTGGCAAAGTGCTTTACACAGTGAGCCGTCTTTCCCCCTTTGTGGGACTTTTCATATTTGTGGATTTACAAACTAGGAAAGAAAATCTTTTCTTAGTTTGCACTCTGTTTTGAAAGTTTTCTTTTCCTCTCTCTCTCTCTCTCTCTCTCTCTCTCTCTCTCTCTCTCTCTCTCTTGAGACATGGTCTCATGTTGCCCAGGCAAGCTTTAAACTCAGTCTGTAGTTAAGAATGGCCCTGGGGGCTGGAGAGATGGCTCAGCACTGACTGTTTTTCCAGAGGTCCTGAGTTCAATTCCCAGCAGCCACATGGTGGCTCACAACCACCCTGAATGAGATCTGGTGCCCTCTGCTGGCATGCAGGGACAAGACTGTATACATAATAAATAAATAAAATCTTAAAAAAAAAAAAAAAAAAAAAGAATGGCCCTGAACAGCCAGGTGGTGGTGGCGCACACCTTTAATTCCAGCACTCGGGAGGCAGAGGCAGGTGGATCTCTGTGAGCTCGAGACCACCCTGGTCTACAAGAGCTAGTTCCAGGACAGCCTCCAAAACCACAGAGAAACCCTGTCTTGAAAAACCAAAAAAAAAAAAAAAACAAAAAAAAAACCAAAAGAAAAAAAAAAAAAAAAAAAAAAAAGGAATGGCCCTGAACTTCTACGATCCTTCTGCCTCTACCTCCCGAGTACTGGGATTATAGACCTGCACCACTTGGTGCTGGGGGTGGAACCCAGGGCTTTGAGTATGTACCGGCTGAGCCACTCCCTGGCCCCTGTGCTCTGGTTTAGAAAATGTTTTATTAACATTACAGTGCTGGGACCAGGGCTTCAGGCAGGCATCCTGGGCCGTGCCTGCCACAGAGCTGTGATCCCAGAGGGAGCTCTTTCCTCTTCCCCCACTGCAGGGAGCTCTGCCTCCTTGGCTCTGGTTCCCTACTCAGAGCTGATCCACTTGGGATTTAGCATCAAACAGAATAAAGGAGAGAGCTGGATATTGGGGCTACCAAGAGGCAAAGTAAGGAGCTATGTAAAGGCCTGCGTGGGAGGCTGGTGATACCTGTAAGGAGCACATGAGGTCATCTCAGACTCCGGCACAGGCTCCAAAGGATTGTAAGAGGGGTAGTGAGTAATACAGGTGACAAGGGAGGCAGACATGGAGCCGGGAGGAGGGGTGTAAGAGAGAGCAGTAAGTGCAAAGGCCCTGGGGTTGGTGTGGTGAAGGAGAGAGGCAATATGGCGGCTGATAGGGCAGAGTGTGGTGAGTAAGGGGGAGGCCTAAAGAGGCAGAGGCCACGTGGGGCTGTGTCAGCCATCGGACACTGTTCTGAAGAGTCCTGAGTAGCTGTTCATGAGTTACTTATTTATGTGTTTTGCTCTGATTTTTGCTTGTGTATGTGGTGTGCACGCACGAGTGTGTGTTTGCACGTGTATGGGTGGTTGCACGTGTGTGTGTGTGTGTGTGTGTGTGTGTGTGTGTGGGTGTGGGTGCATGAATGTGTGAGTACATGTGGAGGCCTCAGTGTGCCTCTTTTGGTTGCTTTCTGCTTTATTTATTGAGGCAGGGTGTGTCACTGAACCTGGAGCTTCCCGATCCCTCTAGTCTACCTAGCCAGCTAGCCTCACGGATCCCTTTCTGATTCCCCTGTGCTGGGATTGCCGGGGGCCGACACACCTGCCTAGATTTTACATAGGTTCTGGAGATCCAACCCCAGTTCTCATGGCTGTGCAGCAGGTGTTTTATTATTCATTGAGCCCACAGTTTGGGTGTTTTGAGACAGGGTCTCATGCAGTTCAGTGTAGCCTTGAACTTGATGCTCACCTGAGGGTCACCTTGAACGTCTGATCCTCCTGTCTCCGTCTTCGGAGTTTGGGGATTATGGGTATGCACCACCACACCTGATTGGATTTACTTATTTTTCTTTTTTAAATTTATTTTTATTTTTAATTTATCTGTGTTGCGCGCACAGTGTGTGTGTACAGGTGCCATGGCACATGTGTGAAGGTCAGAGGGTAACTTGTGGGAGTCAGTTCTCTCCCTCCACCAGGTTCAACTCAAGATCTCATTTAGGCTGTCGGGACTGGGGGTAGGGATGCCTTTGCCTGCTGAGCCATGTCACCAGCCTGGGGTTTCAAATTTAAATTTAATTTTTGTCTGTGTGTGCTGAGATGCAGGGTTGAATGGATTTATTTAAAAATATATCTCTGACTGCTGTGTAAAAAATGGATTATACATTGGCAAGAGCAGAAGCAGAAGGCTGCTGGGAAAGAGACGGCAAGGGGGCTAAGGTGTCTAGCTTCCTCGAGTCAACATGAAACTATTTTCTCTTCTGTATGGACTGCCATCACCCTTGTGTCAGGCCTAGTCTCTGTCCCTGTCTGTGGCTCAGCTCCACCTTCTGTCTAGGCTCAAGAATAACCTCAGGCCACAGGTGTGTTTTTCAGGGGACAGAGCCCCCCCCCCCCACCCCGCATGGCCCTTGCTCAATGAGCAGCACTGTTAAGGGTCCAGGGACCCAGCTTGGTGGAAAACTGCACATTCACTGACTCTGGCTCCCCAGGGCTGGCCTGCCCCTCCCTCCACTCCTTGCCCTTCATCTGCTCCCGGGGAAGGAGGGAGCCCTGCGGGTGGGGGAGCATGCACCACCTCCAAGCTCTGTCTGGGGAAATAGCAGCCATCCATCATGACCAGCGGAGCCCATCAAACTCCACAGGCAGAGCTATAAATTGCAGGGACACTGTGGCTTTGGGACACAGGGAGAGAGGTGGGGGTGTGCCAGGGCTCATGGGAGTCTGGGTGCTCACATACACCAGCCCTATCCCACCCAGCCACCCTGGGGTTAACCAGCCAGAGCCACAGGGGCACCCTGCAGAAGCCCTCCCACCTCCGCTAGCCAATGTTGTCACCTGCCCTTGGATCCCCACTTCAGAATTGTCTGGGCTGTCCTTCTGTCCTTCTGGAAGCTTCTTGAAGCTTCTGAGCTGCCTTGCCTTCCGCTGTGGCTGGGTGTCCTTGGGGAAAGCAAATTTGCTATTTTAGCCTAGGAAAACATAATTAGGAAGGCAGCTCTGAGGCAAACACCACTGTGTTATGCATCCTACAGCCAGATAGCTATGATCTTTGAATTTCCCATCAGGCTTCTTTGCTGTGGCGATAGCTCTGAAGTCGGCGGCTGGCCGCGTTCAAGTACATCTGTCTGTTGACTGTTCCCTGGGTATGTAGAGTCTGGGCTGGGGGTTCTGGAGTTGGGGAGGGGGGC